CCGTGACCCGCCGGCGCGGCCCGGCGTGCCGAGCCCCCTCTGGCACTCCGAGGCCGCCCTCTCCCAGCTAGGGCAGCGGCCCGTCTTTTTCCCTCCGCTCCTCCCGAGCGCTGCCGCAGCTCGAGTCCGTGGGACGCTTCCGTGGGTATTTTTGAGACCTTCCCGTAGTGAAAGACGGGTCCTGGGTGCTCACCCTCCTCTCTGCACACCCGTCCGTTTTCTTCTGATACGGTCTATAAAGTCCCTGGAGCCCTCGAGCACTGCTCGTGTAGGACCCTGTGTTCCTCGCAAATGCAGAGTAATTTATTACCTTAATTGCGGCGTTCCTTCACTCCTGTCCCCCTTATCATCGCTTCTACAGTGTCGTGTTTCCAGCACTCAGAAAGACCACGAGAATGTAACTGCTTTCCTAGATACTGCCGCAGCCCATCCGACAGCCCTTAACATCCAAATTTATTTATTTTTTTCCTTCCCACATTCCTGAATAGTTTAGAGATCCTTCTCTAAACTGAAAGACTTGCTTCATAACTCTGTGTCGTTACATCCCCCGTGTGCCCATTTAAGCAACTGAGAATGAAAAGATGCCCTTTATTCCTCTTTCTAATCCTTTCCTTCCGCCGTATCTTCAGTTTCCTTGTAGCCTGTTACACATCCTGCACCCTCTTTAAGAGACCTCTGTGAACTCTAAGGTTCTTCTGCAAAGCCCCCATATACCCTTTCCTCTGCAAATACTTGTTAACTTTAGTGACGTAATGAACTTGCTAAATTGGCTAATAGCTACATAAGCTGAGACAGGAAGAAGTGCTGTCTTACATACTTTGACAAACGCCACGGTATTGCCCAGTCTGGCATGATCCTGATCTCCCGTGGAAAGAAGCATCAAACTTCCTAACTAGCTCCTGTGCCCTGCATGCAAATGAAGGACTGTCTTACTAACACCTAAGTAGCTTTCAAAGACCCCAGACTGTCTCAACACAAATGTAACAGTTGCTAAAATAAGTTTGCTGAACTACTCTCATAGCCCCTGATAACCTTCATAAACCTCTTTTAACCCTCTGGCTTTCTATATAGTATGTCCACATTTGGGGAATATTGTGATTAAGGACTAATGTTTAAATTATATGTGGTATTGAGCTAAAATAGCTTTTGTAGGACTATTTTGTATGGTAGCAAGCAATATGAATGCTCATTCAAGTAACTTGTTGGATTTATAATCTCTGTTTGGTGGTTTCTTAGGAAAATATTCTAAATACTGTGCTTTTTAAATCAATGTATTTATTTGATTTTAGTTTAGCTACAAAACAGTATAATTTGCCAGGTGTATTCCACCGTATTTCATTAGTAATGCATCTGTCATAAAAAATGAAGTCACTTGTGTTCAACAGCTAAACAATAAATTGTGCATAGGAACTAAAACTGTATGCAGGTACATTTGTACAATTTTTCATGGGCTGTGTGCACTGAATTATCAAGTGCCCTGTTAATACTGTAAAAATGTGCCTCCAATAAGATAAACTTGTAACACAGTTTAATTTTTTTAGGTATCTAAAGGAATTTAGGACAGAGCAGTGCCCCCTATTTTTGCAGCACAAGTGTACCCAGCACAGACCATTTACCTGTTTTCATTGGCATTTCCTAAATCAGCGTCGTCGTAGACCTATACGAAGGCGTGATGGGACTTTTAACTACAGTCCAGATGTTTATTGTACAAAATATGATGAGACTACAGGAATCTGCCCAGATGGAGATGAGTAAGTGATTTCTTTCAGTCCTAGGTGTTTATAGTATTATCAGTGACATTAAGGAAAGATGCTAATTTCTGCTTAGCGAAAATGATCGATAGAATCCTGGTGCAGTTTATTTGAAAACAGATTTCTGTGATTTGTTATTTTTTGGCACATAAACTTTTATATAAGCATGTATTCTTTAGGCTGTCATAGAGTTAGAACTATGATTTTGCATTGTGACTATCTTTAAAGCATAACATAAGAAACTGGTTTTCTGCACATTTGTGCTAGTATTGGGTTTAGTTTTTTTTTCAGGTGTGTTTCCTTTTCTGACAACTTTGAAAGTGATCAGTCGGTGCAAACTGTACTGTATAGAGGTGGCTTTATGCAAGTTTTGTGGAGATTGATGGGTAGTAGAGGAGAATGGCAGTTTCATGATGCTTCCAGTGAGAACAAGCAAAAGAAGGAGTTCACTGTTGTCTGGCTGGCCCATTAGTGTTTGCATTTCCATGGACACGTGTCTCTTCTAGATAAAGGTTACAGAGGGTCTTCAATGAACTTGGGGAGGGGTAGAAGCTTTGTGGAGGTGAGAATGAGCAAATGGGATGGTATGGCAGGCAGACGTATGTAGAGGATGTGGGTATATTGTGGTCAGATGTCAGAGGAGCTACCTTCATCTGCAGTGATGGAAGCAAGGAAGGACTTTTGACAAAAAAAAATATGCAGGAAGTCAGCCAGGAAATATGTACTTATGCTGGTCACCTGTTTTAAAAATTGTAGATTAATTATTTTGGTTACTCTAGTGTATAGCAGCTCTTGTCACGGATCAGGTATCTTTTGTGTTATAGGCTGTAGTCACAGAAGAAAAAGGTTGATTTTTCCCAGCTGCTTTACAAACTAAATGACAGAGATAAGGGAAGGTAAACAACAAAAATGCACTTGGCAGCGTGACAATATTGAGTACCATGCCTAAGCAATATAAACAGCAAAAAGTGTCTCTGAGGGGTGATTTAAAAGAGAGCAATTAATTACCTTTTCAGGTGTTTGTAAAGCACTGCTGACAATCCTGGGGCAGCATGGGCAGTTCTTCTTTGAAAATCAACAAATGAGGATAATAGATGCTCATGTCATGGATTGCTTGGGGACAAAAATTGACCTTTCATTATCGTGTGATAGATACTGATTCTAAAGGAGAAAAAAGGAAGCAGTGTTTTAAAAGGGTATTAGCTAGGCACAATTGACTTGTTAGAAGCAAATAAGAGATGTGAGATGGAAACCTTTTTACTGCAATTGGATTGGAAAGGTTGTCCCCTACGGTTGCTGAAGATTACTCCCTGGTTAGGCGCCTAAATGACAAACAGCGTGATTATATTTTCTGGCATAATGGAAGTACAGAGGGCTTGTCATAAAGAAGACCAATAATGAGATTCATACCTCTGGTTTAGCATGTTGTGCTTACATTTTGAATTAAATGGATAGGTTTAGGAGTTATCAGCAAAGAGGTGATCATTTTCAAGTTTGTGTTTTGCAGTGAAGTCGCACAGATGTAGAAGGATAAGAGCAGGGACCAAGGTTGAGGTCCTGTGAGACCCCTCGCTGGCGGTGTAAGAGTATGTTGAAGTTCGAAGATAAGCCGCAGGAGAGATTGAGAGGAAAGTGTGAATGTAACTGAAGTCATGTAAACAAATGAGAACAGTGTTTCAAGGGGAGAAAAACTGAGTGAAGCAGACAGTAAATTAAGAAAACGAAGATAGCTGTGAGTAGACAAAATGGACTCTGTTTTCTTTGACTCAGTTATAAGGTGAGATTATTGGAGACATTTGTGAGAGAAGTTTCAGCTGAACTGTGAGGCCTTATTTTAGATCTGACCCTGAGAACTGGTGGCTAGAAACGGCAATCAACTATTGTGAGTTGATAGCTCATTGAAGTTAAGGTAGAAGAGAAAAGGCATACAGGGCAAATAGTTGGGAAAGGTAAGAGAAGTCAAAGGTAACTTTCTTAAAGATAGAAGATGCTGCAGCATGTCTGTAGTGTCAGGATTAAAAAATGGAGGAAAGCACCAGCGTTTCTGAGGACGTGCTTACAGTGTAGCAGCATTCCTGTTTCAGAACTCAGCAAAAAGTGTATTTTTGACCCTTTTTGTCTTCTGCCTTTTATTTGGAGCAATTAAAATCCTTATAGAAATAGGTTATAAACAGTGCCAGGACACCTTTGTTGTAAGCTATCTGTGACAACATACTGGTGCTTTTTTGGCTTTTATCTGTCTCTGCTTCTCTGTTCTGCTCATCTGAGTACATGGTTAGGTTAATGCAGTTGGTGAGTGGATAGAGAACAAGCGAGAAAGGTAGAGTGATGACACCCATAATTGCTCTCAGGAACATACTTTCAAGAGAGTTAAAGTAGAAATTGTTGGTTTCACCCAGACTTGACTGTGATACTTCTTTCCAAAGTTCAACTTGGAATGAAAAGAGGCCCAAAATTTTAAAGCTGTTTAGAAAAGGGCTTTTCTAAGGGTAGCAAATTAAAACGATTTGTTCTAAGGAATGGCCTGTGAGAAAGACTAGATTACTAGCAGAGTTAGAGTGATAGATTTTGAGCAGTGAATAGTGTTCCTCCCAATTTCACAGTGAGGATAGAAGTGATACATTTATTTTTTTTTAAGCTGGTGTGTTTTCAACTGTTCTAGTGAACTGATGTCAGATGCTAAAAGAGAAGATTATTTTGGGTATGTTAGTATCTGTAACCTAAGACTGCTCTAAGAGTGAATGAATTACATAAGCCTACTACAGAAGAGCACTTCAGGTAATCATAGGAAGAAATATGTCAGTGCCTCAAGGTTGAAGAGAAGTAGAACTGTAGTTGTTTTCATACGCTTAAGAACATCTAGCATTACACTTTAAACTGGAATTGTTTAACTGTTTTATTCTTGAAGGATATCTCTGGAATGTTTATGATGTGAATTAAGAAGAGTGTGAAAAGGAAATATACGTTTCAGTAATCAGTTAAGTTTTTGTGAATGTATGTTCTGTTTCATGGTTTATACATCTACTTACTCTGAATAATGTAATGACAGTTTTACTTTGTGAGTTCTGGATGCAGAAAACAAAGCTGATTTCAGTAGTTAAATGTTGTGTGTAGACTCCAGTAGAACTTAAAAATAGAGTAATGTTCTCTACTGATTCATGATTACTAAGTTAGGATTCAGATTTTAAGCTGGGAGATGGCTGTAGAAATATAGGCCATGAAATAGATGTGTTATTCTGCCTGGGAACAACGTTTATTTTTTTATTCTTTTTTTCAAAAGCTTTGTGCCTAAGGAATAAGTGATGTCTGTGCAACCTTAGTACCAACCTATGGTACATAAGAACAAGTTTATCAGTTTACAGGCATGTAATCCAATGATAATTAAAATCAGCCATTCTAAATCAAAATACTCATCTTATTTAAAGCTATGGATTACAATGGTTTGTGCTCCATTAAAATATTTCATAAATAAAGTGAAGGTAAGATACAACATCCCTCTAGTTCATTAAAGGTTGAGTAGAACATGTGTTCTGTGTGTATTTCAGCGCATTGGCTTAGTTTGATACTGTGTGTGAATAAGTACTACTTACCATCTAAAAGCTGCTTTAATTAGGGGGTTCTGCCTTTCTGACTAATGATCCTATGGTGAACTACAGCTGATAAAGAAAGATGTCCGTGGTTAATAGCATATGTATTATTGTGGTATTGTATGAATAACACACTTCTATGTAAAACATACACATGGAAAATTGATGCCATCGGTTTTGCTCTTTGAGGTTTGCGTGCTGTTTGGTCTCACTGAGTCACCGCTAGAACTAGCCCTTATCTAGTTCTTTACAAGTCTTAGACAAAATTCAGATAACAAACTATCCCAGTCCCGCTGGATAGCCGCATTAAAGCATTCTGTTAGTTTCTGGAGGAGGGCTTCACCTGTTATGGGACTCTGCAGGCAGCTAGGAAAATGTGCAGTAGGAAAGCTGTATTTTCAATAAAATTCAGATTTCATTAGCTATTGATAACACAAGTATTGAGTCTTAGGGCAAACAAACCTAGGTTTAATTTAACAGAACTAAGAGTCTTGTGACACAGTTTTTATTTCTTTCCCAGCTTGCTTTTTGAATCCATATTGTCTTTTTGTGGGAAAAATTGTGACCTGAGTATTTCTCCTTCTGTCACACAACAAGTTGTGCCCAGCTGGTCTGACAAGCTATGGCTATATTCCATTGAATTATCTTTTTTCTTTTTTTAACAGTAATTTAAAAACAACTGAAGGCATTAACATTTGGGGGGGGGACCTCCACTGATAAGGCGATTTTGCTAGGGAAAAACTGCAGATATTTAAGCAAAAATGTTTTCCCTCTGTTAAGGAACCACGGATTTAGAGACAAGTGATAAGATGTAAACACCTGTACACTTCTTGTATGGAAGATAAGACATTTAATTCTTGTTTCCAACAGGAACGAACAAACTTAAGTAGATGAAAATGGAAGTGTGAACATTATGCATAAGAATATGACAGAGTATTCTCACCTTTGTGAGGTGTGCATCTATGAGTGAAAGATCAGAGTTTGTAATGAATAGTCTTCTGGGAAAATGGAAACATTTGACCCCTGCAAAGATTCTGCTAGCCGTGGTACAGTTAGCAATAATAAAAATACAGCCTCAGATTACATTTCCTCCTGTTCAGAGCTCTGTATGGGACTAGTGCTGGCAAAAGGATCTGATTGGCTCCTGTGGGTTTTCTCATTTCTCCATATCAGTAGCAATTCTATCAGAACAGGAGGGCAGCTATTCACACATCACAAAGAATTTCTCACAAAGTTCAGCTGAGGCTCTATAATGAGTCCAATAAAGATTTCATCCTGTCTGTCTTTCTATGTCGAGCCAAGAAGCGTAAAAGAACTACTTCCAGGTTCTGAGTGTAGACTGTGCTCCATCTTACACTGACAAAATGAGATGTAGCACTGAATTTGGTATACCTAGCCTTCCCACTAATGAATTCTTTGGGGATTTAAAGAGATAGGTACAAATCACTAGCTTCAGCCCATTTATCTTGTTTAACAGAATGCTGGTTTTAAATTCCTACAAGGAAGCAACTTGATTCTCAGAAATCATAAACCGTGTCAATTCCTGGAAATCAGCACAAGCTGCAGGTGTTTAGCACAGCAGGAAAAAATGTATTTTTGATTGTACATTTTTGATTTGTACATTTTGATGTAAAGATATAAATACCAGACTTGAGATATAAATACCAGACTTGTAAATGTTTGCAAACAATTGCATTTGTTTAGTCTATTTCTAAATAACCTTTTTAGAATATAGTAAATAAAGCTTAAGCCAGCAAATATTCTCAGGAGTGTTAAAGTCTGCTTACTGCTTCGCTATTCTCCCTCCATTCAAAGTGAAATATTTCTGTGGGACTTTTCGTTTGTGGTTCTGTCTCACTCTCTAAGCTTTTTGTTGCAGTTTCTTTTTATTTTGGGATGGGGGAGAGTAGCTTTTGGAGATAAATATTTTTTCAAAAACAGCAGAGACCAAAGTTAATTACACTGAAATAAACTGGGAGAAAACAGACATCCCTGTGTATATATTTTTGTGGGTTTTTAAAAATTTCTTTACTATTGGTAGTTGGAATCCATACATGATGCTAGCCATTTTAAAGTATAGACTGTAACTCATATAGTTATGTCTGATAAATGGTTAGTATATGTACAAAGATGTATTGCTGATGTAAAAAATTTTGTCTTCCTTTTAATAGAAGAGTCATTTTAGTTTTCCCCTGAGATTGTTCAGTAAGTTCCATGTCTATAAAGAGAAGGAAGGAAAAAAAATCGGTGTGCTTTAAGTACCCCTTGATTTTAGATGACAATAACATTAAAAAAAAAAAAAATTGTGTACCTCCTGGTGTGGAAATGATTTGAGCTTGTATCAGTATGGAAGATGTCATTCCTTAGCTGAGATGGTGGTGTTGCTTACAGGGGTGCTTACTAGATTTATTAATAGTATCTTTGTGAGCCAGCCTGCTATAAATTCCAATAGCTTTAATAGAGACTAAGAAATAGATTAATGTTTTTTATTTTGAAGCTGATCTGTGATGGTGATTTGTTTGGGACAATTTTACTTTGAAGAATCCTGCAAAGTTACTTGTTATAAGTTAATAAAAGATAGAACATAATTCAGAATTAAATTATTAAAACCAAAACTTAAAGCAATGCTCTAACTTTCCTCTTTCTATTATGTAGTTGCCCTTACCTGCATCGAACAACAGGGGATACAGAAAGGAAGTATCATCTCAGATATTACAAGACTGGAACATGCATTCATGAAACAGATGCCCGGGGTCACTGTGTGAAGAATGGAATTCACTGTGCCTTTGCTCATGGTCCACATGACCTTAGACCACCAGTATATGATATAAGGTATTCTTGTTTCAAATTCTTCATCCTAATTAGCAGGAAATACCATGTATTGTTATCACCACATACCAGAAAGTGCAGTATGCTTTGCATGAAAAATATAATTAATTCTGTAACTGTTAACACGAGAATACAATTCACTGTGCATCACGAGAGCAGATAGAAGCACACTGGGAAATACAAATACTAAGGTTTTGTAACTTGCAATTTCAAGAGCCATATCTGTAATTCCTATGACTGGTAAAAGACACTGCCTTTTGTCATTTATGCCTTGTAAATTTGCATGTGGTATTTACATTCACAAATTCATGATTTTGTTAAGCCATCTTTCAGGTTCTCAGCTTGTATGACATTTTGCTTACTGATGTTGCATTTTTTTATATTTTTATATTGTATTTTTTCATGTATAAGATATCAGTATTATTTTCTGCCTCTCTAATGTATAATCAAGTTACTGTCAAAAGAAGTTGCTTTGTGAATCAGAGTAGTGGTAGGTATGATTTTTATCTGTGGCCAAAGCTGGGAGATAAGCTTGTTGTTGGGAGGTATTATAAATGGGTGGAACTCTTGCTACAGAAAGTGGTCTGTATATAGTCAATAGAAAAGGATAAGTATTCCTAGAGAGCTTTGAAGCCTTGGAGGGTCACAAGTATCTCTTACTGGACACTGGAAGAGCATTCTGGGGAAGTATCACTGTACGCTTGCCCTATTCTTATACTCTTCCCTAGGCATCTGCTCTTGGCCACTGTTGGAGACAGGATTCCAGGCTAGATGAACCTTTGATCTGAGCTGGTATGGCTGCTATCTTACATTCTTACCTTTGTTATCCCTGACTGCAAACCATCTGTTGGGAGATGATAGCTCTCCCTTCACAATAATTTTAGTAAAGTTAGTGCCTTTTCAGTAATTTCATAATTATTTAAATTCATATTTTGCCACAGAATTCACTGCTGCATTGCCTGGTCACATACTGTTTAGTTGTATATAGCTTTTCTTTCCGGAAGACTTTCTTCAGTTAGCTAGCTGATGCTTCTTCTGCAAGACATCTGTCCATTTGCTTTTCCTTTTTAACTTTCCTCATTTAGCATATGCAGCATGACACCACATCAGTCCAAATATAGAATGCTTAGTATTTTTGTAATCTTTTTTATTGCATTAGAATGAGGAATCAATATATAGCAAGACTGAAACCAAGCTCGATTCTCTAGATGTCTTTTAATGTGTTAAATGATTGTTTGTTGGTGACTGGCTGTGTATAGAGCATCAGCAGGAGCTGAAGACGTTTGTGGTAGGAGTCTATGTGTAACGGCTTGAACCTACAAGTAGGCTGCCTCAAACTTCTTCGGTGTTTGTGAAAAACAGCCGTGTGCCGTTGCTTCTCCTGATTTCAGGCATCCAGCATTCATAAAGAATTTCAAAAAATCAGGTCTTATTGCTCTACAATGGACACAGATATTAGGGTTTCTTCATTTTAAGTGAAGAGCAGAGAAATAACAGTATAATCGCTGATGCAGGCGTTAACTTTATTCCACTTAATAGCCTTGCTCTTCTACACATCCACCTTAAAGAAAAAGCACTCTCTAGGAACTCTCTGTTTTCCTTCTCATTGCCTGCACCTGTTCTGAGTCTGTAAAAGCAATATTTTGAGTGTTTGAAAGGTTTTAGACCTGGCTTTGGGTCTGTCTTGTCTTCTTTTCCCTTTGAGATTTTCTTTCTTGGAGGATACTTGGGGTGTGGGAAGTTCTTGAAATGATATGTAAATGATATCATAACTAATTACATTGTAAACCATCACACCTTTCAAACTTCTCTTCAGAGATCCTGAGTAGAGTATTTTGGTATAGGAGGTAAGCTTCTTGAATATCTATGTCTAGAGAAAGCAGTGCCAATTGAAGGTAGAGGCCTTTGATTCTCATAGAGTACTATAGATCCACCTCTGGTATTTCATTCGTCACCTTGTTTCTCCATTGCTTCAAAGTTTGCCTAATATAATTATGGTGTCATAATATTGTCTCATATTTTTTGGTAGAGGTTTCATACCACTAATAGAATACCTTTTAGTTTAGTAGTAGTCATTCTGATTTTTCAGCAAGCTTGTGGTTGCTTACTTGCAAAGCAGTTATAAATTCTTACAGAAGATGTTCCATTTCCTCATATGATTATTGTTTGTTACTAGGTCTCCTGAATGTCTTGACAAACTGCTTTTGCAAAATCTTACAGAGAGCCAAAAGTATTTTGGCTAGTTTCATATGATGTAGTATTCAATAGCTATATTTTGTACCTTCCTTCAGTCATAACCTTTGCAAGACAGAGAGTCTTACGGTATTTAATTCTCCCTCATTGAGGAGTTCTGTATTTCTCATCACCCTTATTGCCCTTTCTATGTCTTTTTTAGTTCTACTATGTCTTGTGTGGCAGTGGAATATCAGAAATTAATAGTTTATTCAAAATGTGGGCACACCAGCATATAGAGGTACAGATGAGCATTGCTGTTGTCTGTGTACGTAATGCCAGCATTCCTTCATGTGTTCTCTTTGATTTGTATGGCACGGTTGTTCCTTACGATTGTTTGCCAGCTTCAGCACAAGTAATGGTTTGAAATACAGTCAATTTATATTTTTTTTTTTACAATTTAGGCTTGTTAAGAGCTGGGTTAAATGGCAGAATTTTGATAGACTTGGACACAGTTATACCTGTGACAGATAGGGTTACTGTATCTATACAGTTTAGCAGTGTTATTTTCTTTTCCCCATTCCAGAGAACTTCAGGCACAGGAAACCTTGCAGAATGGGCAGCTAGGATGTGGTGAAGGCATTCCAGATCTGCAACCAGGAATTTTAGCAAGCCAGGCAATGATTGAGAAGATCCTTAGTGAAGATCCAAGATGGCAGGGTAATGTTACCCTGTCTCCTTTTTCTGTTTCTTTCTTGGTGTTTGATCCAATTTGTTGATCCTGGGTCTTCATCTGGGAGAAGTTCAAAAGCCATTTTTAACAGAGTGAAGAATTGGTTAACACAAAGTAATATGGATATTTGTGAACAAGTTGTACCGTCTGTCACATTTGTATTCAGACTGCATTTTGAAAATGTTTTGTTTTGAGAACATTTAATGGGTCTTTTTCAGTTTACTTGATACAAGTGTTGCTAATGTGTGTCAATTGAATAAATGTTCTTAAAAGTCAGTAGGAGCTCTGTCTTATGCTAAGTAGTAGTAATGATTAGAGTCTTCATTTTTTGAGTCATTAATAGACTAGTTAATGGACCATTATTCTTTGCTGAGCTTGACTAACAGGATTGAAGTAGAATATTAAGCAGAAAATTGGAGCAGAATATTAAAATACAAGAATGTCTTGAAAACGTTATATTAGATTTCTTAAAGTAAATCCAATTGCCCTTGTTTTCTTGAGGCTTTCAAATTTAGTTCTTATGCTCTTGGTTTAGACTTGCTTATTATATAGCCAAAGATGTTAGTATCAATTGGATACTGTTAGCGCTCTTGCCCAAATTTTACTTTAGAAAAGACTGCCTGGTACAATTACTTCC